TACGGCGTCTCTCATAATCATATGGCGGTTTTGGGACGTTAAACCCCACAAATCAATCAAATCAATCAAAAGTTAGCACACCTCATTCCTTTATTTCTAAATTCAAGCAGCATGGTTATCAGCATAGTGAAAGAAAGTCGTTCAAGAACAGTTATTTTAAAAAAGACACACGCTTATCTACTCTCGCTTCAAACATGACAAGTCTGTTTTGTTCTGTAGACGATTGCGTATCTAGTGTACTGTCTAGGAAATGTAATGCGCCTTAAATTTGTGCAAACCAGCTACGGTCCTATTCACTTCGCGATCTGTCACTTGTTAATACCTGGTCAAAACTACGACTGTATATTAAAGGTTTTGTTGGTATGTGTAAAAAGTGCATGTTTAAGTGTCTTGGAATTTCTTATCTCTTCTCCCACTGCTCTGTCTTTATTTTCACTGTATCTTCTTTTCTCCATTTTTTTTCTCTCGCTGTACTGAATTTGTGTTCATGCTCTAAAGATATACTGAGTGTTGTGCATTATTTTGGTCTGGGCGGGGATTGGCGCATTGTCAGCCATTTAGTTGCTTTTTCGCCCCTTCTTTTCCTTTAAACCATTAGATAAAGATGTATGCTTCAATAATGAATAAACTTTAAACTTCAAACTTCAAACTGGTATCCATGAACTCGAGGATGTTAAAGGTGGGAAGTAGACACGAAGCGCAAGCCGTAAGAAAGTGTGCGTGTGTGACCTCTGGTTTAGTCCTAGGAATCTCCGCTGGATGATGGTGCTTCTATATGTGGAATATATGATAAAAATGTGCGAGATGGTGGTACTTGGAGTGTTGAATAGATGGACGAACGGACACACAGACAAATGCATGGATGGACGCATGAACGGACGCCGGGGCGGATGCATGGACGAACAGACGCACGAACAGACGCCCGCACGGACGGGCGGATGGATGCATGGACAGTCACACAGACGGACGCATTGACGTATGGAAGCAAGAACGAATGGACGGACGAATGCTTCATCCTACTCTCCATCATTCACTGTGTGGATATGCTGCCAGTTTTTTTTGTGAGAGATATTGGCAGTGAAGTCTGCAGCAGCGAATATTCTGGGCCTGCATTGCGACCATGAAATACCGCCTTATAAAGATGTGGAAGGCCGAGTTGCTATCAGTTGATTTGCAGTGTGACTAGTTTCGGCGCATGAAAACAAATTATGTTGAAAGCCTTCTGTATAACTTTTCGTGTGCATAGCCTCATGTTTTTTCTTATGCCGGCTCTAATCGTGATTGTTAAACATAAGCATAGTGCCAGTGCAGCATAGTGCAGTGCCTTAATATACTCCTTTTCTCATTGAAATTGTGTTTAGGGGTGGTTGACCCGCGAGCGCACGCCGAGTGCATGGGCAGACAACTTATGGGATGAGTGAACTCAATGAACCAATAGGCTGCACCTCATTCCGAAATCTCGCCAGCAGTTTGCGTTCCGCTGACGGGTGCCCATGCACTCGCTTGTTCCCTCTAACAGCTGACCACAACGTAAATTGCGCCCGCTTTCTTTCATACTACGCAGAGAATATACAGGTGCTCCCAAAATAATTCGGAGCGCCGGAGCGGCGCCCACACGTTGGCAGAGCGCGCCGGTGAAAAAGTAGTGCCTGCGCGGGCGTGGTTTCCTTAGCAAGCGTGCCTCGTTACCAAAAGCATCTAAATGAGTGTTTGTTTGCTCCATAAGAATAGAGCTGGGTGCTTTTCAGCATTTTGCGGATGCGGTCTCAACTCCCTGTGCGCGCGTATGCACGCGGTTGAGCATATGTGCGCGTGCATGCGCGCGTTAATGGGCATCAGTGCTTTTGAAATTGAATATTTTAACTTGCTCATTAGTTGTAGAATGTGACCATCCCGTCACTCATTTTCGACAACACCCGTGGTACGAAAAATCAGGAAGTGGCATAGAGCACCTAAACCATTCAATAAAGCACGTGAAATTGTATTCAGCAGCAAGTAATTTCGTGTAATTCAGAATTTTAATGGTTATTCTTAAGTAATTAGAGTTATTAGGAAGACCACAACACGGACACAACACGAAACATTTATTACAGCTAATATGTTTTAGTAGGAAAGTAAACGTATATATTATTTAAATGTTTCTTTTTGACACGCGCACGTTAATACGAAGACTGATGCATAAATTCTAGATTGCGTGTTAATACTGGTCATCTCAACTTAAAAAATAATATACGAGTTCCACTAATCACAATCAATGCAAGGCTCCGCAACAGCGAGTCCGTAAGTTCAATGATATGTCGGTCAAGCAATAGTCAGAACTTCCTAACTAGAATGAAGCAATTGTAAACAGAATGAGAACGACGCGTAACGTTTTTTTCGTCAAAGTCATTTTGATAGTCGATAAGAGGGCCTATATAGTACCTCTGCCTTTTCAGATACACCTGCATGATACGTTACTATAGATTCGTTATTCGTGACTGTGTGTAGCACGGCAAAAGATGCGCTTTCATCCCACATATTCGTGAGCAGTTCGCACCCGATTGATAAGATGTGAATATATAAAAACAATTGAACTGTCGCGAAGTTCTGCCCTTTTCCTGTAGAGGAAGCATGCTAAAGAGAGTGCCAATCCACGAGCGGAGAAGGATAGTTGACCTATCCATGCAAGGTGTTTCTCAACGCGAGATATGCTGCCTCACACGGAGGTCTATACGAGTGCCGTGAACAGAAATATTTAGGCCAACAGACCTGAAGATGGCCGACTGGAAGATGCTGCTCGTCCAGGACGCAGCCGATGCACATTGGAAGAGTCCGTCCGGCCGCCTAATCGTTGCTGCAGTAGTTGCGCACCCTTTTCAGAGCACCCAGCAAATTAAGACCCCTCTCGCCACCAAGTCGGGGTAGAAACAATAAGAACGCGCCTGCCAGATGCCAGACTTCACGGGTTTATCGCCACCCAAAAATCACACCTGACGGAGCTGCAAAGACGTGAGTGCCTTGAATTTGCTAGAGCGCATGAGCATTGGACGGTGGAAGAATAGAAGGGGGTTAGATTCTCAGATGAGAGCCCATTTTGTTCAAAGTGGGACCAGGAGATCCACATTTGGAGGTTATACAAGTGCAGGTGTGTGTCTTTTGATTGTGTGGTCAAATTTTTTTCATACCTTTCCTACCTAGAGGCACACGTTTTTTTTCTTTTTCTTTGTACAGATACGAACCTGGATATTTTTTCGAGGTACACAGGAGCGGCTGGTGTGCTGTAAACGTCTGGGTGCACAGTAAGCAAAGATGGCCTCGGCCCGCTAGTGCGGCTGTCACGATCTTTCACAGCTGGGGCCTACTGCGAAATACTCTACATCCACCTGCTTCCCTATGCTCTGGACGGGCCATTTAAAGACGGCTGCTTGTGGTTTCATCTAGACCTCAGCCCAGTGCACACCGCCAGAGCTGTTCGGAATCTCCTTGAGGAACGTGGTTTTCTCACACTTCCAGGGCTTGCAAAAAGTGCTGACTTTAACATCATCGAGAACGTGTGTGGACAATTGAAGCAAATCATGTTCCGCATAGGCCTAGGAGACACCAAAGCTGACGAACTGTGGTTTGTCATAGCTCGAGAGTGGCAGCGCCTCGGCGAGAAAAAAGACATTATAGAGGCACTCTACGTGTCACTTCAACGCCGCATGCAAGCCGCGATGCGCGTGGATGGTGCATGCACGTGATATTGATGATGTCCCCCACGTGCCTATATTTCATGTCCCCCAACGTGCCCATGCTGCAAGCATGGTATTAAGCTGCATAGATTGGCCACCATATCACCATGCACAGAGCTTTTTGGTTTGTTCATTAGGTGATTACTTGCCAGCGTCTTACAGCGCCCGTTTGCCTAATCAATGCTCAAAGCTAAGTCCGTGTTTCCAACTTTTTTTGTAGCCGCGCGAGCAATCTCATTTGATAGAGAGAGTGCTTCGCACTTTCTTCACTATAGCCTTGTTATCGGCACAATCATATGGTGTCAAAAAGAATAGCAGCGAGGCATTACAACCCACTAGAAAAGCACCGTGGCCATCTCTTTCCCGCCAACGCACGCCGCTCTGTCACCTTCTTCACCACTTACCTTTGTCATTTTCGATCTATTTCAGAGCAGAATTTTCTTTAAAGGGCCCCTCACAAGCCCACGTTAAATGACGAGACATGTTTCCTCCTCGCTTCCGCTACCCTTTTTGTAGGTGATATATCCCCTTCGCCACATTTTCTTTTAGTAGCACGAGGAACATGTCCTCACTAAGCGGTCGTTCTTCGTTCTTTTGCTGCGCTGAAATTGTAACAAGTGATGACTTGAGAACACAGAAGTGCGCACTTCTGTGTTCTCGGGTCATCCCCTGTTACATTTTTAGCGCAGCAAAAGAACGATGCCGTACCAACTAGCCTTCATTGAATCCTTATTCGGTCGATCGCATCAGGATTCCACGCTGCTCGCTACACGCTGTTATCGCAAATTGCGCAGTCGAAAACACACAAACTGAAGTAAAGTTAGTTGATCGCGCACCATAGTCAAGCGAGACAAGAAAGAACGGATGGGCGACTGCATGGGATGTGTTATCACCACCCTAACAGGGACAAACGATATGCTTTTAACGCAAGGCAACACCTATATATATAAACTAGGGAACGGATCTTGTTTGCTAGGGACGCCACGCATGCGCAGACCCTGGCTGTATATTTCCACGCCTGTGCTCGGGTGACAAGTGGCCACCGCTTCCGCGCTCCGAATTATTTTGGGAGCACCTGTACTTTACGATTTTGGTGCGTCGATGCAATTCAGAGCTCAAGGACGTCACGGCTTGCAGCTTCCTCAAGGTACTTGATATGCTGCACCGAAATGGGCATGTTTGTAACTTGGGCGCATCAATAATAGCTCCCCTGCCTTTTCTCTCTTGATAAGTGATGCAATATTTTCGCATTATAGCATTTTAGCCTGTTGAACATGTAAAGAGTCCTACCTCGACCCAGTAGACGCAACCAGTCTGGCCCATGATGCGCCGGAATTCGCGCATACGTAGCCGCTTGTCGCGAACTGTGTCGGCTGCGTAGTTGAGTAGCAGCCACGCGACACCCAGCTCGAAGGCCAGAGCACTGAAGTCCCGGTGCATCATGACCATAGGCTTCCTGCCGGTGTTGAAGGAGCGAGTTCGCCATAGGTATCGCGGCTCGGACCGGCCCAATGCACGCGCTGTGAGACGCAGGTGGCTGTCACCTAAAAGGCACAGCAATGGTAACACGTAGTCGCGACGCAGTGGGTAGTAGCCTCGCCGGTCATCATGGTCGTCCAGCAGGTAAAGCCGGCTTGTGTTGTAACGCAGTGTGTAACGCAGATACTCCGGAGGCTTGTCATCCTGCGCCAGGTATTATAACAAGGCAGATGTCCATATGAAGATAAGGGCTTCAAAAAAAAAAAAAGGAAATATCCTTCATGAAGGCTATAGGCACCAACGTTTCGACAAGTGGTATAGTTATCATGAACGCCGAAGTAAATGCTTTAAAATGTTTATGTCATGAGACGTTAAATTTAGGGCATGTCATGGCTTATGCAATTTTCATATCTGCGCAGTAGTGTGATGCTTAAGCTACACTTTAGAACGCATTTACTGAGTCAGATCTGATTGAACAGGTTTGCCTGCTCCCAAAGCATCATGATATCTACGTGAGAAATACATAGTTAGTTTTGCGAAAATTCCAATGTCGGTGTCAGATTGAGCGTTATTGGTTGAGAACGAAAAATAATTGTTTTGTGCGTGACTGAAAGTTGACAAAGAAGCCAATGGAATAAATGACAAATTTTGTCCGACTGACGATCGAACTCCGGCAGTTTGCGTGGCAAGCAGATGTTTTAACACACAACCATGCGCATGTTTGGAAATGCAGGCAAAATAAATTCCTCAACTTGGAAATGCAGTGAGAATAATAATAATGCTCTCAAAAAACACGCGTCCTGTCTACCGGCTTGACAATACAACATGTAATATCACAGTAATAATCCGCCGTATAAGCGTAAATTACCATCGAACACCAGTACATGCAGTAAAACGTGGTGGTTTCAAGCCACCCACTCATTACAAAAGACAGTCATAATACTGCACGTATTTTTTTAACCTACCAAGTGGGCGAATAACAAGCCCCGAAAAATTTCACGCGCACAAATTCTCAGAGTTTAACAAATGCTATCCCTTACACAGAATGGAACAATAAGTGAAAACTTCACTGAGACAACCCACTTTCAACTTTATCGATTAATTCTTTGTAATCCGCAGTTAAAACTTTAGTAGCATCATACAGTAGAAAGTGTGCATGAAATGGAAGAAGGACGCACTAACGACAGGACATGGATATCGTGTTGAACTCCTAAAGGCGAAGCTTAAGCATTCAACAGTATTTTTATGATTGAAGATACCGATTAAGAAAAAAATCCAACATTACACAAAGTTTTATCAAATTAACAATGGCATTATCATTTGATGTTTGTTTGTCGAAGTCAATTTCAGTACCGCAGAAATCACGAGTGGAAACAAATCGACTAGTCTCAGCTCATAAAAACAAATTATATTGAAAGCCTTCTGTATAACTTTTTGTGTGCATCGCCTCATGTTTTTTTCTTATGCCTGCTCTAATCGTGATTGTTAAACAGAAGCATAGTGCCAGTGCAGCATAGTGTAGTGCCTTAATATACTCCTTTTCTCATTGAAATTGTGTTTAGGGGCGGTTGAAGGCGCCTTATAGTTCGGGAGGAGAATGTGCTGATATGAAGCTTGTGTCGGCATCACTTCAGTGACAACCATTATGAGTTTACGTACAATTTTGACCAGAGGGGTTTTTAAAAGGCCGCTATACATAAATACACACATGTTCTTTGCAGTTCGCCCCATCTGTCATATATAAACATATTTATCTTATTCTAAACTACAATTTATGATCTCACTTCGTGACTTGCACAATTATAGAAGTCTCCAAGAACTACCGAAATGCGTCACCTCTGTACTACAGTCTAGCTCAGATTTGCGGTTTGCAAATTAATCTATCACGCCTTCTCAGAACTTTTTGCTTATAGGTGCATAGTGTCATGGCAATGAGAATATGCGAAATATAGAAAGAACAAAAGAAATGTATTCACAATGTCCACAGGGAGTCCCTCAGCCAAGATGGTGGCGCACGAACAACAACAACCATGAGAGCTATTACAATCTTCGTCTTCATCGTCTCAATAGAGCATTAACTCTTGTTCATCAGAGCTTGCAACATATAGCCCCCACCTCTGAAAGCACAGTATCGGCACTTAGGATAGAGAACGATCTTGGGCGGAAAAGTACCATTTTAGACGGGATACGTGCACATATGAAGGGGCTGACGATGACAATGTACTGTCCCATGCGGCAATTTCATATGTGAGCTCGTAAGCTGGCGCTATACCTTATAAGGCCCGGAATATCAAGGGAAGTGATTGGATGCCAGCCCAACTTGGCGGCGACGTGTCAGGAGCAGAAATAACGACGCCTCAATGGAGCATTGTTCGTCACAGCTTGTAACAATAGGATGCATCTATGGTCTTGTTTATATGCTATGGTTACAAGCGATCTAGTTAGGTGAAACACAGTTTCACTGATACAGTAAAGCATGACCAAACAGTCCAATTTATTGATGGGCGGCTATAATTAGGGACACCGCTGTGGTCTAGAAATTACGTGCTTATGCGCTGAGCCCAAAGAGTCGTGGTCATGGTGCCTGAATTTCGATGGAGGAGAAACACTCGGGACAAGTGTACTGTGCGTTTTCAGTACTCTCTGAAGAACTCCAAGCAGTCGAAGTTACTTGGAACCCTCCACTGAGGCGATGCTCTTAGCCCAAGTGTCTTGTCATGCTAAACTTCATAAATCAACTAACCAAGCAACGAACGGTAGTAAGTCCCAAGCAGGTGCATGGTAGTACTAAATACAGAAGCAAAGGTTCAAGAAAAAAAAACAGAAAGGACCGGAGACATCTTACCGTTTTGCGCAGGTTGTCAAAAACGATGACTAGGTCGAATGCGTCCGCATCGTTGGCCCTGGTGCGAGTGAACTCGGTCACTGACTGGGGATCTTCAAAACCCACGAGTCCTTCAGCCGGGCTGTACTCGCGAAAGGTGGCCTCCATGAGGCGCATTGAGTAAGGTGCGTGCGGCGCGTACGCGACCCGTCGGAAGATCAGCTGCTTGTCGGCCACGGTGCACGGCCAGTCAACCACTTGGACGCTGCTGAGTGGCACATCGCGGAGCCGCTCAGCGAATGGGGGACCCGTAGTTAGCAGGAGTATGAGACAGAACAGAGGCCCGAGCAGGCACTCGGACAGTGACAACCAGCCTTGGCGAAGCATGGCACGCACGCACAGCTCCTTCCACACGACCGTAACCAGCTGAGTCAGAGTGCCCATGTCTGGCTGCTCTGTGGAACAATGCGTTAAGATCCAGTGCGTTAAAGGGGCACCCTGAAACTGTAGAAGACTGTGCTACTGGCCTCATGGTAGGCACAATAAAGAAACATTGACCCCAGGCTTCATAGATACGCAATCAACACGGAAAAATTACGCGAACAGACACACTGGAACAACAAACAGTTGAATTGTTTATGTCCTTCGAGCCTGGAATCGTTGTTCTGTCAAGTTATGTGCTATAGTTCGTCAATCTAGGGGCTACATGGTATTACATAGTAACACAAACAATGAAACCTTGTCAGATGGGGAGAAAATCAAAAAAGATTCAATAAACTTTTGAGTGCGAGCATTCAACTGACATTTAGTTGTACATGGAAAACTTATTCGTTGTGGGAAAACATGGTAATAAAAACGTGGCTGCTCTACTGTTTAAGAATCGGTATACCACGAATGAAACGTGTCTTTACAGAGGTAGTTGAGCATTTATTGTGCATTGTTTCAGCAACAGTAACAAGCTGCGAAGTTACCTAAGAACGGCAAGCAGCTAGAAACTTGCATCGCACACCGCAAGCAGAAAGCACGCAGCAAATCAAAATACACAGGACGAGCGCGAACTAACAACTGTCACAACTCGACACTTAAACCGCGCGACACTTAAAACTGAGCCCGTCACCCTGTGTTGCCACTGATAACAAAAACGCGCTGAAGTTTGAAGCTCTGACGACTGCCAAACGAAGTATAGCGTATATATATGGCTTGCCGTTAGCACTCTAAACAACACCCGTTTTGTGACGCAGCAGTTAGCGCCGCGCACTGAAAATGGAGAGGCCACTGGTTCAATTCCGCATGGCGGATGCTTGCCTTCTAGTTTTTTCTGTGAAGTCTCTTAGTACACATTTTCAACGTAACTGCTGTGACAGAAGTACATCAGTAGAACTGTGGTGGGCCACGCCATGAAACACTTGCGTGTTAAGAAGTGTGATTCATTCCTATGTCACAAGAATCGGTGGAACGTGTGATTGGAACGTATCCTTACAGAGGTAGTTTAATGCTTAATTACTGTGCATTGATATGAGAGACTTCGCACGATGTCTAAAAGCCTGTGGCATGGATGCACCCATGTTAGCACTTCGTGGTACTTCTCCATCTTAACGGCTAGCATTCATCACTAATGAATAAACAAACTGTTTAGCGTAGCTGTGGTATTTCGCACACCAAGCGTATTCAGCAAAATTGGTACGCCGTTGAGGAGAGCGTTGCTGATTGAACGCAGAACTTGGGCTAAGTCATCATACCGAAGCTCTTTGAAAAAATTATTAGGTGTGAAGCATCTTATGAGCGAGCTTGACCCGCTGGCATCCACGCTCTACTGCGCATGCGCCTACTCTGCCCCCTCTGACATAAGCACGAGAAGGTGGGCTGGAGGATGTGGCATGTGCGCTTCCTGTGCTCCACACACCATATGGCAGCGTCGGCGGGAAACTGCTACGAATGTAGCGTGGGCTCGACATGCCCAAACCCAATGGCAGCTTTGGCAAGCAACCCTGTCGTACGCAACGCCGACGTCGAAGCCAAGATGTCGGCTGCGGACAGACGAGGTGAGTCCAACGCCCGTGCAGAACGCCTTGCTAGACCACTTCAATTCCTGGGCTTCGACGTTGCTAACTCCTATAAATTTACACAAACTCCAAAAAAAAAAAAAAAAAAAACTGCGAGGCGATGTGAAGCAACAAAACGGTTGCGCACCGCATAGGCATCGGTTTTACTAAAGATGTGTACGTTAACAACAGCGTAAAGACATGAACACAACGCAAAAAATAACATCAAACAGAACAGCAACGATAATTTTAATAGAAACACGTAGTCATACCGATGCAAAACGTTGTGTGCACCGACCACGCTACTTCGCATCGCCTGCTGGTTCCGTTATATATATATATATATATATATATATATATATATATATAGACAGTAATGCCAAGGAATGTACAGGGGAAGTTATTAGAACCAATGGAATGTAATTAAGAAGAAAGAAAAGTAGATGAAAAAATTACCAGCTGTGAGCAGGAACCCACGACCTTCGAATAACGCGTTCGATGCTCTAACCACTGAGCTATCACAGCGGCCGTCCCTCCATCCACTTTTTGTGGTTTATATGTGAATTTAGAAGTAGGAGTGACAGTCAGCGCCATCTATAAGCCAAACAACGAGTGTGAAAACACTCTTATTCGCATGTTCGGCGTCACGTAGCACGTGAACTTATTATGAGCGGGCAGCTGATTAATTGTCCCTCTTATACAACCTAAACACACCAAGTCTGCCAGTACGAGACCCTCGTTCAATGAAATAAGGGAGAGAAGTGTATACCTAAGGGCTCGTATTTCCGTGTTTTAACACAATATTAATGAGATGTAACAGACAGTAATGCCAAGGAATGTACAGGGGAAGTTATTAGAACCAATGGAATGTAAATAAGAAGGAAGAAGAAAGAAAAGTGGATGAAAAAATTCCTGCTCACAGCTGGTAATTTTTTCATCCACTTTTCTTTCTTCTTTCTTCTTATTTACATTCCATTGGTTCTAATAACTTCCCCTGTACATTCCTTGGCATTACTGTCTGTTAAATCTCATTAATATTGTGTTAAAACACGGATATACGAGCCCTTAGGTATACACTTCTCTCCCATATATATATATATATATATATATATATATATATATATATATATATATATATATATATATATATATATATATAGGCAGGCATGGTGGTTGAGTGGCCGTAGCGTTGCATATAGTCTAGTAGATCCTCCGTGAGCGGTCACAACGTGGTTTATTTCGACGTTTCGGCCTAGAGTCTGGCCTTCATCAGGAATAAAGATACAGTTTGTCGGTGCTCAGCTTTATACAATCTCGAATCAGAGGGCAAGGTAAGAGGGAAAAAAAGGAAAGAAAAAAAGAAAAGACAAGGAAAGAAAAAAAAAGAAAAAAGAGAGAAATAATATACGGTGAACGCCCCTCGGGTGCCCCCCTTCCACTTTTCCCTCCACTCCCCCCCATCTCTCTCCCCCCTCTCCCCTTCACCTTTCTGATGTCAGCGGTCTGTGTATGTTTCCGTTCACTAGCGCATTCCTCCCGATCAGACGGCCCCTCCTGGCACTGGCGGTTCGGTGTGGGGCAAAAAAGAGCTTTTCAGGAAGTCCTAAGCCTTTAACTACTCGGGGTCCCGTAAACAATTCGTCGTAGAAGGACGGGGGCCACGTATTGTGGCAGAGGCTGGTCAGCCGGCATTTAGGAAGTTCTAAGCCTTTAACTACTCCGCGCCCTGTCAACATTTCGTCGTAAAAATAGGGGTGCCCCGTATTGCGGTAGGCTGTGCAAGCGCGTGCAATGCGAATTCCTGGCCCGCTTCTAAATTACGCGTGTCGTGGGGGCCTCCCGGCTGGGCACATGGTTGCTGTTGGGCATGTCGTTCATGGCACAATTGATTGGGTAGGAAAATAAAACAGAAAACAGACGACAGCTGCACTTAGGAAGAGTAGTTACACTTGGAATTGTTTTAGGTTGTCCAGTGCCTTTCGCAGCTGCAGTGCCGTGAACTCAGTTACTATTTTCATTGTTGCCGTTATTGTTTTCTAATGCTTTAATTGCTGCAAGTGTACCAGGATTCTCATTTATTCCTCTATCGAGGGTGTTAAATCGGTGAATAAGGTATGCCTCTCGTTGTTCACGTTCTCGATTTGATTTAAATCCCGTCTCTAAGAGCGTTACTGATAGTTTGTCGAATGCATGGTCGGGAAGATTGAGATGTTTTGATAGAGGTAGACTTGGGGCTGATTGCGCATGGGCTCTGTGATTATTGAAGCGAATCCTAAATGGTGTTTCTGTTTGTCCGATGTACTGCATACCACACACGTTGCATTCGAGTAGGTACACCACATTAGAAGAATCGCATGTTAGGTTTCCTCGTATGTTAATCGAAAACTTGGATTGCGTGCTGGTTGCTTTGTCTGTTTCTCGCATCGCCTTACATACAAGACATCGTGGCTTTAAGCAAGGGCGGCATGAATTATTGGGGGGTGATGTGTTAATTTGGGAGTGGACAAGGGTGTCTTTGGGGTTACGTAGTCGTCGGTAAACGACGCCTGGAGCAGATGGGAATGCGCGTTTCAGACGTTCACTTTGTTCCAGAATGTTATAATGTCGTTTAAGGATTTTGTTTACGTTTGGGAAGTTTGTGCTGTAAGTCAAGCAGAGGTTTGTTCGTTGTGGGTCTTCTCGTGGTGGTCGCTTCATAAGTAAGTCTTCACGCTTTTGTTTTCTCGCTTTTTGAACAGCGTCATCAATTACATGTGGGGGGTATTTTTGTTGCTCGAGCATAAGTTTTAGCCTCTGTGAGCTCGTGTCAAAGTCAGCGTCTCTAGAGCATATTCGCTTAAACCGGTGAGCCTGGCTGTATGGAAAACTGTTTTTACAGTGGCGTGGGTGATCGCTTTGGTAATGAAGGTATTGTTGTCGATCCGTTGGTTTGCGATATAGGGTTGTAGAGAGCTTCTCTTCGTCTATCGTTATGGTAACATCAAGAAAATTCACGGTAACTTGCGAGTATGTGTGTGTGAAGTGTATGTTCGGATGTACAGTATTGTAAGTGTTTATAAAGCTGAGAAGTTCGTCCTCGCTGTGGGTCCAAATAAGAAAGATGTCGTCTATGTATCTTCTGTATAACATTGGTTTCAAGGAACTTTGTGCAAGAAATTCAGATTCTAGCTTTCCCGTAAATATGTTGGCATAATTAGGTGCCATTTTGGTGCCCATAGCGGTCCCGCTGATTTGTCGAAAATACTCTTGGTTAAACTCGAATGAATTTAATTCGAGGACCATCCTCGTCAATGTTGCAATGGCAGAGAAATCTGGGGTGTTAGATTGTCTATGGTTTGTGTACATGTTTTGTAATGCAGCTATGCCGTCATCGTGAGGAATATTTGTATATAATGAAGAGAC